GAACTTCCTTGAAAATAACAGAACAATTATGTGACCTGAGGGGGTTATTTGAGCATTCACTAGTGCCCTCTGGTGTCTGAAAAGAGAAACAACAAATGCTCCTAAAACCAGTAAAAATCTAACGTAAGTTCAAAGCTCTCTGTAGGATGTCTACATGAAAATATATGCATAATTCATTAGTGAGTATTTACTATAATATTTCCAATTAGTGAGAGATTTCATAGTGTATCCCAAGTACCTCTAATCCTGGGGTGGGAGTAAATGGATGCCCAAGAAGCTACATGGAACAGAACAAGGTTTGAAGTATTACATCACTCAGCCACAGAAGGAAAGAAGGAAGCATGCAGCAAGAAGGAGCAAAGGCAGAGGAGAGAGAAGAACAGGTGCTAAAAGGGGCTGGGGGGGCGCTCCAGTTTGGATGGAGTGCATGGCAGCACAGTGAAGGATGGCACTGGGGATTTAAGTTGGAACTAGTGAGGACAGGCTCTGCACACCACGTGCAGGAATTTTTTTTTAAAGATTTACTTATTTATTCATGAATGATTTAGAGAGAGGCAGAGACACAGGCAGAGGGAGAAGCAGGCTTCCTGTGGGGAGCCCGATGCAGGACTGGATCCCAGGACCCCAGGATCACAACCTGAGCCAAAGGCAGATGCTCAACTGCTGAGTCACCTAGGGGACTCCATGTGCAAGGATTTAGACCTCATACTTAAGAGGTTGGGAATCACTAACCTTTGAGCAAGGGGGCAAAATAATTCCGAATGTCGTCGCAGCGTGGTGTGCAGGACAGGTCAGGAAGGCAAAGGGAAAGGTGGAAAAGCCTTTGGGCTCTACTGGTGCTAGCTCTGGGGAGAGGGTGTGAAGGCCTGAGCTAGGTCGGCTACTATGGGAAGAGGAGGAAGGGAATGGATTCATTACAGAGGTAGAATGGGTAGGACTCCTATAAGTAGAGAGCAAGAAGACAATCAGAAGACAGTCAACGATGACAGTGTTTTAGAATCTGGGAAGATGACATAAACAAGAGAGAATACCAGGGGAAGAGCAGATTTCTTTTGAGGAGAATGGTAAGGTTTTCTTGGACAAAGTTAAATTTAAGTGTAGGCAATACATCTGAGAAGGTAGGTCCAGCAAGTAGGTGGCAGTTTCAGTACAAAACTTGAGAGAGAAGGAGAACTTAAAGTTTTCACAGTGACCCACATGGAGCTGATGTGGTTGTGGACAAGGTAGCCGAGGGCCACAGGAGAGCATCAAGCCTGCCTCCATCAGAGGTGGACGAGTCGGAAGAGGAGCCCGCAGAGATGCCAGGTGTAGTGAGAGAACCAAGTAGAGCTGAAGGAACCACAGGACAAGTTTCAAGAAAAAAGGAATAACCAAACGTTTAGGGCAAAGAAATCTGAAGGCTGAGAAAGTCTTTGTTTCAACAAATGAGGTATGATTGGTGATCTTACAGGTAAAGTTTTCAGTAGAATGGTGGGGAAGACACACCACAAATGAGCAGTAAGCAGAAAATGAGGCATGGGCATCAGACATATATTCCCTAGAGAAGCTTGACAGAGAGGAAAAATGTGATAGTGGGCCATGGGGTAGGAGAATCTCGGGAAAGAGGTTGTGAGTAAGGAAAAGAACAACAATGAAATCAGTGGAGAAAGAGCCTATACAAAGATTGAGATTGAAGGCATAAGGTCTTCTGGAAGGTCAGAGTCAAGAGAAGGTGCAAACTTTATAAATGGCATCAGGATGGAAGAGGATATGTGTAGATTCAAAATAAATTTAAGGAAATGATTAAAGAGAAACACAAAAAGTTAAAATCAGATGGAGGTGATTTCGGTAAAGTAGAAAATAAGGTCATCTCCTACTATGCCTGGTAGGACTATCACCTACCAGGAAACCATTAAAGGTAGAGTGGCCATCCTGGGTCTACACAATAAGAAGAGAATAGCACTGTAGTTTGGTAAATCTCTCAATAGGACACTCAACTGGGACGCCTGGGTGGCTCAGCAGTTGGGCAGATGCCTTCGGGCTCAGGTCCTGATCCCAGGATCCAGGATCAAGTCCCGCATTGGGCTCCTACAAAGAGCCTGCTTCTCCCTCTGCCTGTGTTGTATCTCTGCCTTTCTCTCTCTCTTTGTGTCTCTCATGAATAAATAAATAAATCTTTAAAAAAAAAAAGCACTATCTATGCTATAGACCACAGATGACCAAGAGAGTCCCTTCCTCAAGTTCATTATTCTATTATTGTAGGTGATCTCACTCTTTGAGGAAGAAAAAGCAAATATCATTCCCTGTCAACCCCAGATCCACATCAACAGAGTGTCTAAGGGAGGAATTTTGCCAGAAGGAAAAGGACGCCACAAGGAAGCATAATAACCCAGAGGGAGTGAAGAGGAGAACTAGGAAGGCAAATCCAAGCAAACACCTGGCTGAAAACACCAGCAATAACAGTCAATGCCTTCTAGAGTTTAAAATATAGATGGCACTAAAATATAAGGTAACAATACACAAAAGGCAAGAGAATAGTGAATGAGTTGAAGCATTCTACAGTTCTTTTATTATCCAGGAAGTGGTAAAAACACTAATGCTAACAAGTCAGGTTTGAATGTTGTAGTTTCTATGGTATCCACTGAAAGTAAAAACATTTTAATGAATGTTTAATAAATTAATAGAGAGGAAACATGAATAATACAGAAAAATACTTGGCAAATCTAATAATATGTATACTGTAGAGGCTTGATGACTGCTCCTCAGGAGATCTAATCCTAATACTTACAAGTATGTGAAATGTCTACTATATTTAGGTTATCAAATATCTTTACTACTGAATAAGAGGGTTTTAAAATGTAAATATTAGGCATATAGGTTAGTTGAAAAATAGAGCCCCATAAATTTGGATATAGGCTCCTTCAAGCATTGATGGTTTTCTTTGATACTTAAATAAAGAGCCACACAATCCACTGTTGGCCTGTGTTGGATTTGGGGGAAATGACACAGACTACACCAAATCTTTTCTTTATTTGTAGAAAATTTTTTTTCTTTTTTTTACTTTCCTCCAAATATATGATCACAGAAAGTCAGAGACATAGAAATGAGAATCATTCCTTTCCTTATGATTATCCTGGAAGCCTTGGCACATCTTACAATGAACAGGCCTCAGGTTCCTAAGGGAACTCTTGAATGAGGTTGTTTTAGCTTCAACATAAATTGAGCAAAAGACCTTGAACATGGAGTCCAAAGAGAATCCAACCAAAAGCTTTGAGACTTGAGAACTGAGCAAAAATTCATTGATGAGTGGGCTGGAAAACCACATCTTGACAGGTAGGTCTTGAAGTGTCTAGACATCATTTCCATCACACTGCACTCACTGGCCCCCGTGGTGACAATATAGGAGTGAAAAACACAAAATGGTATATCGTGTGAATGGAGCTCTTGAAGACCATGTCCCAGAGCAGTGATATTAGTATATAAAAGCACCTACCAGGAAACCATTAAAGGTAGAGTGGCCATCCTGGGTCTACACAATAAGAAGAGAATAGCACTGTAGTTTGGTAAATCTCTCAATAGGACACTCAACTGGGATGCCTGGGTGGCTCAGCGGTTGGACGGCTGCCTTCGGCTCAGGTCCTGATCCCAGGATCCAGGATCCAGTCCCGCATTGGGCTCCTACGAAGAGCCTGCTTCTCCCTCTGCCTGTGTTGTGTCTCTGCCTTTCTCTCTCTCTCTTTGTGTCTCTCATGAATAAATAAATAAATCTTAAAAAAAGAATAGGACACTCAACTTTATGCCTTCAGCCAAGGCTTTAGTGGCAATTCCCCTCAGATGTCTACCTGAACCAAAAGCCCTGACCATGTTGAGGCCAAGAGAGTACAAATGGAGGACTGCAAGGTAAACACCACAGCTGAATGAGGCACTTGGAAACTATCTACCATTAGCTCAAGAGCAACCCCCAAGCCCAAGTGAGCACCTTTGTAGTGTCTAGTTCTCCCTGAATCCAATGATTAGTCAGGTAAAACATCATGGATAATAAAAATGTAACTGATGGTTTTAATGCATTTATAGCTATGTGTTTCCATTCTAAGTTATAAATTGTTTGAAAGTGGTATAGTTTAATACCAAAAATGAATTCCGTTAAGTGTTTTTTAAGCTTCAAACTTTTAGGTCATGCCCCTTCCAACCTCTAGAGCTTCTGTAGTGAAGCTCAGGAATCTGCATTTTTTAAAAATTTTTATTTTTAAAATTTTTTTAAGTAATCTCTACACCCAACATGGGGTTTGAACTTACAACCCTAAGATCAAGAGTTGGACACCACCCACTGACCAGCCAGGTGCCCCAAGAATCTGCATTTTTTTTCCTAAATGTCTCTACTGGTTCTGATGCAGGGCTCTGTTGGCTACACTTCGAGAACATCTTTTCAAGGACAGGGGTGGTGAGAGAGATCCCTTTTACCTTCTGACCCACAGGAACACAGATGCACATTTTTGACCCAAGAATATTCTTGTTTTTGTTTGTATAAAAAGCAAGCTGAGACCGTAAGGCCTACATTTGGAAGAAAGAAAAGAATGGTACTGAACATGTTCATTATTTAATCAATGTACAAAACATGGCCATAGGGGAAATAACATTATTATGTGCTGTTTTACACTTCAGGAAAGGAAAAGCGAAAGCACTGACTTGAGGGTTTCATCGTCTTTTGTTGAAAAAGCAAAGCTAGGTTTCCATTCGGAGAAAAAGAAAAAAACAAAAAAGAAACATGGACGGAATCCAGAATCTCGAAGGACCCCAAACGTAGGAGGTTCACAGGTAGTTGCGCTGAACTAGCAGACAAGGAAATCCGAGCTCAGTGTTGATACTGACCCATTCAATGTAGTGTGGAGCTTAGGGGCTTGCTTGATTTGGTTTCCAGTTTCTTCCAATCAGGGGAACTCTACCCACCAAGAGTAGATAATGTCTTGAAAAGAAAGCATGACACTTCAACCTAATACTCATTCTCTCTGGCCACGTTTACATCAGAAACTTCGCCCCATTTCTTCATAATCCTTCTCCAGGGTGGCCAAGTCTTCCCGGGCCTCTGAGAACTCATCTTCCTCCATGCCTTCTCTGGTGTACCAATGCAGAAATGCCCTCTTGGCATACATGAGGTCAAACTTGTGGTCCAGGCGGGCCCAGGCCTCCACGACGGCCGTGGTATTGCTCAGCATGCACACGGCCCGCTGGACCTTGGCCAGGTCCCCTCCTGGCATCACCGTGGGTGGCTGGCTGTTGATGCCTACCTTGAAACCAGTTGGACACCAGTCTACAAACTGCACAGAGTTCCTGGACTTCATGGCTGCAATGGCTGCATTCACATCTTTGGGGACCACATCCCCTCTGTAGAGGAGACAGCAGGCCATGTACTTCCCCAGGCGAGGGTCACACTTGACCAGCTGGTTGGAGAAGTCAAAGCAAGCAGCAGTGATGTCACACACAGAGAGCTCCTCGCGGTAGGCACTCTCAGCGGAGATGATGGGGGCAAAGGTTGTCGTGGGGAAATGTATTCTCGGATAAGGGACCAGGTTGGTCTGGAATTCAATGAGGTCCACATTCAAGGGCCCTTCAAACCTGAGGGAAGTAGTGATGGAAGACACTGCCTGACCTATGAGCCTATTAATGCTGGCGTAAGAGGGACACTCGACACCAAGTTTATGGTGGCAGATGTCATAGATGGCCTCATTGTCCACCAAGAAGGTACAGTCCGAGTGCTCTATGGTGGAATGCGTGGTGAGGATGGAGTTGTAGGGCTCCACTACGGCAGTGGAGATCCTAGGGGCTGGATACACAGAGAACTCCAGTTTTGTCTTCCTGCTGTATTCCATCGAGAGCTTCTCCATTAGGAGGGACGTAAATCCGGACCCCGTGCCTCCTCCACAGCTTCGGAAAACCAAAAATCCCTGAAGTCCACTGCACTGCTCTGTCTGGGGAGGTGAGAGGAGATGTGAGAACTGGGTCAAATGAACCCAGGAGCAGTGGTAGTGGGAGGTCAACAAGTTCCCCCCCCAAACAAACAAAACCTTCAGAAAGGACGGGTGTACCATTATTAACACCATCGTAACACACGCAAGTGGTTGGTTACCTCTGGGGTTTGGGGGGGCACTTTAGAATTTCACTCTAAGCAAAGCAGAAATATTCAGCTGTCTGTAGCTGCCCTCCCCGAGTTTATCTGCATGTGACCTAAAGCAAGGTCTTTCTCAGTAATGAAGAAAGCAAAATCACAAACTATTGAAGCAACCTATCCCCCCACTTTCCTCCCCAACCCCCACCCCGGGAGATGAAGTACCCTATCGCTTCTATGTCCAATCTACTCTGGGCTAAAAGACATCGGATTCCTTGAGGATTACACCAGACACCGAAATAAGCACTAGACAAAGGGGCCTCCAAAGGCAGGTCCTTAAAGAAGAATTAACGGTCAGTAACTACAGTAACCAATCTCCAGGTAGGATGTGCCTCCTGTTGACTTCATGAATAATGGATACTACTGGAAAAGGACCAGGTTCAGGATGCTCTCTCTGGAAGCCTGTGCTGACAAGGTGAGCCATGAGGAGTTGCAGAAACAAGAGTAGAGGAGGGGGCTAGTCATTATAAAGCAGGTCATCCTGCCATTTGTGGCAGTGTAGGTGGACCTTAAGGGCATTATCCCAAGTGAGAGACGTCAGACACGGAAAGACAAATACTATATCATCCCATTCACATATGCGAAGTCTAAAAATGTCAAACTCATAGAATCGGAAAGGCAGGGGCTGTAGGTCAAAGGACACAAACCTGTTAGAAGATGAGTAAGTTCTGGGGATCTAGTGGACAATATGGTGACTTTGGTGAACACCATGTTGTACGCCTGAAAGTTGGTGAGAGTGGATCTTGAATGTTCTCATGCCCCTCCCCCCACACACACACATTGACTGTACTGTGGCAATCACTGCGCCATAGATGTGTATCAACTCATCACGTTGTACACCTTAAATTTACAGGGCTGGGTGTCAGTTATCTCAATAAAACAGTGAAAAAAAAAACCAAAAATTTCCTCATAAGTCTAAAAAGAGAGTAGGTGGGGCTGCAGTAAGGGTAAAGGTTTCTTTCACCCTTCCTACACGACAGAGCCTAACCAAGGCCAACAGCAGGATGCTTCCCAGCTTTGAGCATCTGCGGGAGAGGCCACAGTGGTGATGCAGGTGGGAGGATGCGCTGGTGCTGTTGGGAGGGCAGGTCCCAGGCCTTGGGGTGCTACACCCGCTGGGGAGAAAGGGGGCCACTTGCCAGCTTTCGGATCCTCTCTAGCACAAGATCGATGATCCCTGACCCCACGGAGTAGCGACCGCGGGCATAGTTGTTTGCAGCGTCTTCCTTCCCACTGACCAGCTGCTCTGGGTGGAAGAGCGCACGGCGCGGGCCGGCTCGAATGCCATCTGCAGGAGGGGACAGGAGGTCAGTGCTCCATCCATTCAACTGCCACCCCCTTCGCCAATTCCTGCACAGCCCAGCACCCTGCCCACACATCCCCAGTGTTGCGGTGAAGCGAGGGCTTTACACCACTGGACTGACCTCCCTAGTCTACAAACAGGGTCATCACTTCCTGATAGATTGAAAGTCCATCCTCCCATCCTACACCCTTTATTAGTTTCTTGTGGCTGCTGTAACAAATTACAACAAACTTGGTGGCTTAAAGCAAGAGGAATGTTTTCTCTCACAGTTCAGGAGGCCCTAAGTCCAAAAATCAAAGTGTTAGCAATGCTGCTTCCTCCAGGGGTCCCAAGGAGAAGCTGTTTCACTCCCTTCTCCTGGCTTCCTCCTGCTAAACATTTGGGGAGCTCCTTGGCTTGGGGCTGCACCACTCCTGCCTCTATCATGCATGCCCGCTCCCCCTGCCTGTGGCCCCTCTTCTCACAAAGACACAGACTACTGGAGTTATAGCTGACCCCAACCCATTAGGACCTCAACCTCATATACCCATTGAGACCTTATTTCCAATAAAGTCACATTCTGAGGTTCTAGGTGCACACAGATCCCATCATGCATGCTGTGACACTCTGGCATTCTAAGGCGAGTATTTCTATCTACAAATAGCCAACCGAGTGCCAGAAAAGTGGGGAAAAGTGGACCGACCTCAATTATTAGGAGTATGCTTTAGCAGAGAAGGTGTGGCCAGCTCCAACGCCCACCCAACTCGAAAGCAGTTGATATAAACACAACCAAAACTCTTTCCTTCATTCTAAAACCATTCCAGCTGCCTTTGGACAAGATCAGCTGCTTTCACCACTTCCAAGGCTAGATTATAAAAATGCCATGGACTTCAGCTTTGTGCTCATGAGACGCTTGCTCTTAGAGCCGAGCGGCCACACCATACTTCTGGACAAGATACTACAAAGTCTGCCATTAATAATCATAAAATTGTACTGATTTCCCCACAATTAGAAGATGTATTTGGCTCCTTGTCTCTTTGGAATCATGCTCAGGTAATGCCAACTTTCAGATTCTTTGTTGGAACCCTCTAGTAACTGGTCTTCAAATTCAAGAAAAGATTTAATCTTCTGTTACAACAAATGTGTGTGGAGAAACTAACAAGGTTTGAATTTGTTTCGTCACACAAAAAAAGAAGACTACACTAGTACTCCCTTAGGGTATATTTCATGCCGATCACCTTAGGTGGTCATGAGTGAACTTCTAGATTTAAAAAATGTCCCTATGATCCTATTCAGATAGATTCATATAACCTAGTGATCCCATCCACTGGTACTGGATTTGTTAGCTTTGATTGTGGACCTGGTTAAGTACCACTGAATGCGAGTCTTACGTTACCTATAACAGTGGGCTCCAGATCCATGAAGAGTGCTCGGGGCACGTGCTTCCCAGCGCTCGTCTCACAAAAGAAGGTATTGAAAGATGCATCTATATGCTCCATGTTAGCATTTTCCAGCTGATCCTTTTTACTGTTGAGAACAACACCATCTGGCTGGATTCCATGTTCCAGGCAATAGAGTTCCCAGCAAGCATCCCCAATCTGGATGCCAGCTTGGCCAATGTGGATGGAAAGGCACTCCCTCTGAAATAAGCCACAGGAAGTTAGAACTAAATAGTCTTCTTAGATAACATGAGCTTGCTCACTCAGTAATTCTGCTCACAAGCAATAGAAAGCAAGGTAGCATAAGCCAATAAGAGAAATGTACGATAAGGCTAATTAATAGTATCTTGTAGAAATCAAAAACCAGGTACAGGTATGTTTTAAGAACAATTGAACCAAAAACTCCAACCTTACTGAAAGATTTCTTTCAACAACATAACTTAAGTATTTATTGTGTAACAGGCCAAGAGTGAGGTAAAAATATATACACATAATGTACTATATATGTATGAAATCAAGCTGCCTCACCTAGAAAAATATCAGGTAGTTACTAGAAAGGGATAAAACCAAAGATCAATGTATAATCTTGATATATATTTAAACCCATAGCACTTAAATTGAAGATTTTACCTTTTTGTATATTGAGATTTTATATTTACTATTCATATGTGCTCTAAATAAGGAAGGATGGAACATGAGAGACTCGTAACTCTGGGAAACGAACTGGGGGGGGTGGAAGGGAAGTGGGGGTGACTGGGTGACGGGCACTGAGGGGGGCACTTGATGGGATGAGCACTGGGGGTATTCTATATGTTGGCAAATTGAACACCAATAAAAAATGAATTTATATTAAATAAATAAAGAAAGAAAGAAGGAAGGAAGGATGTTCTAATCATAAAAGCAGTGGAAAATTTACCAAGGAAATGTGTAATAGATTTAACAACCCAAAGTTGTAAAATCTCAATACTATAATAAGCAAATAAGAATAATGATGTATATAAAAATGAGGTATGTATAGTCCTTCATATTAAGGTCTATCAATAAGGCAATTTTATATATATTAATTTTTAAAAATGCTCGAGGGGCACCTAGCTGGCTCAGGTAGAGCATGCTACTCTTGATGTCAGGATTGTAAGTTCAAGCCCCATGTTGAGTATAGAAATTACCTAAAAATAAAATCTTTAAAAACCCAACCATATACTTGAAATATCTAGTAGATAAATAGGCAAGTGACATACACAAATGAATTATTTTGAAAAAGAATCTAAAATGCAAAGATTTAGGCACAATGGCATTCACAGCATTATTGTTTATAAGAGTGAGAAGCAAGAACCAATCTACATTCATTCATTGTTGGGCATTTGAAGAACAGTTAGGCAACCCTTAAAAGTTTACCCTCCAGATTTTATGACATGGGAAAAGCTTATGAAAAAAGATGAAAAAAAGATAAAAAAAAAAGATGAAGTAAAAGGTATGTAAGTCACATAATTATATATTAAATAAAATATCAAATATATTAAAAATAAGCATAGAAAAAGATCTTTAAAGCACATCAAATATTAACTGTAGTTCTATCTGGACAGTGATCTTTTTCCTGGTTTAAACTCTACTGTTTTCCATCACTGTCATCAGCCTCCACTCTCCCATCCCACGTTTAAATCACCATTCATATCTTTTTTTTTTAAATTCATGAGACACACACAGAGAGAGAGAGAGAGAGAGGAGAGACACAGGCAGAGGGAGAAGCAGGCTCCCTGTGGGGGCCCCGAAATGGGACTCCATCCCAGGACCCCAGGATCACGACCTGAGCCAAAGGCAGATGCTCAACCACTGAGCCACCCAGGTGTCCCCACATCTCTCTTCTTAAAGACCAACAAATTTGGGTCATTTAAACAGACACAAATATCTACTCAAATAAGAGAAATAAAGAAAAGGTTAAATCCTAAAAAACCTTAAGAACAGCAATCGCCAATTTGAATGTGGTTGGGTTTTGGTTGCCAGGGGGCGTGGGACAGGTGTATGCAGGGGGGCTCACGGGGCGAGCAGCGTGTTCTCCGCATCACTGGGACCCTTCCAGCTGTTAGCCTGTGAGCCGGTGGGCAGCCCTGCCCTTGTACAGGCTGCTCTTTTCCTGGACAAGGTCTGAGATTCAACTACGAAAAGACCACTAGTCCAGGGAGGGAAGAAGGGAGGGAGGTCTGGCCGGTCACAGCCCTGCGATGCGACTTGGATTCTGTTCTTGCTCCGCTGCATCAAGCCCTTATACCTCATCTTGATTCGCCAGGCCTAACACAGCCTTCTTTGCTTTATGAGGAATGCAAGTTCACCACCTGAGTAGAACTTCCTCCTGTTTCCTCCCCGTGCAACTATGGGTGTCTCATGACAAAGGCGGTGAGCTCAATTCAGAAAGCACCTTGCTTGGCATCAACCAGTGTTCCAACGTCTGTCCGGCACAGAAAAAAAAAAATCAAACAACATGTTCCAGCATAATAAACAGGCTTCTAACACAGTTGTCTGCAAAGCATGGTTTTATTCCTCCCACACCTGCTGGATTGCAAATGATCTCAGTACATCAGATACTGTAATCAGATCAAAACTCCCTAGATTTAGGTATAAATGCTGAAGGGAGGGGCATTTCAAGATTTCCACATCATTTAAGCCACTTACACCTCGATTTCTCTCTGTCCTTTCTGAACAAGCCAGGAATACTTGGCCCAAGAAGGATCAATCACACCCTTCCTGGTTTGAGAAGCAGCTGAGTTTATAACACGACTGTGTCCCAGAGGACAGAAGGTAATCTTCACCTTCCTCTCTTAGCCGGTCCCTCCTTTGCAAACTCTGTTAAATATTAGTCACACTATAAAGTAAGATTGTAAACTGTGCATTCTGTATCAATATTATAAATTGCAGCATGTTAGCTGCAGCAAGGTCAATCTGAATTACTAGGAAGGCATCATTTTCTAATTAACATTTTATTTTGAGATAAGGAGAAGTCGTAGATTCCTAGATTCAGATGCGGTCCTAAAAAAGGGTAGGTATCTTGCAAGACACTACAGTACAGTTTCACACCCAGGATACCAAAGTTGATTCAGTGAAGACGGGGAACAGCGTTTCCCTGACCACCCGGACCCCTCCTGTAGGAAGGCATCATTTTTTTCAGAGCAGAACAGCTTCAGCATCCTTAAAATGTTGGGGAGAGAAAGTCCAAGGGGGATGAGAACATCAAAGATGAGAAAGCACTATGAAAGGCAACTTCCATTTAAGAATTTAAAATTCTAAGATACCAAAAATTACTGTGACAGACACATAAGACATTAAAGGGAAAGTGGATCTTAAGAGAGGATCCCCAAAGAGGAATTACTGTAAGTAACTAAGTTTCCTGTTGTCTCCTAAGAAGGAAACTCGAGAGGGGACGAGGATGTCCCTGCACTTTACCCTGCCATGCATTTATGAGCTTTAGCAACAATGACCCGGGTCTGAAGTCCCCAGAAACTCTACAAGCGTAACTAAAAGTGAAGCAATGGATTTCTACAGAAAAAAAAAAAAAAAATCAGCACAGCAGGTCTACGACAAATGTAGACAAGGGAAAGAGGGGTTCTTGTTTCAACACTTGAGTTAAAAACAGTGGAGCACTGCACACCCACCAAGTTTTCCCCCTAAGCAGCAAAACTACAGCTGGACGGACGAGAGCTTATCCAAATCTTGATAGAAACAAATGCCCCCTTGTCGATTTCTTCTCTGGAGTAAGAATTTATGAAGGGCGGGTTAGTGGGGAGAGGACCAAATCTGGGGAGTACCCTCGGCTAGGGCTAGGGCGCAGCCAGCCGGGGACACAGCCACTTACCATGCTGATCCGGAGATGCCCCCACCGGGCCGGCAAGGACAAGCGAGCGGGGCCCAGGCCGACTTTATCACATCTATCACAGGGCAGGAAATGACTCCACCTGAGGGCCGAGGCACCTGCTTCACTTAAAGCCGTACACGCCCCTCTACTGCTTCTCTCTGTCCCCCAGGGGACCTGAACCCCCCGGGAGAGTCTGTGCACAGCCACCAGTGGAGCTTACCCAAATCTACTTCCACCTTAAACTCATTTTTTTGTTGCTGTTAAAAATAACAAATGTCTCCTTCCAAACATCTTCCTCCTGTATTAAGACTGTGTCAATTATATGGTCTCATTCATTTGGGGAATATAAAAAATAGTGAAAGGGAATAAAGGGGAAAGGAGAAAAAATGAGTGGGGAATATCAGAAAGGGAGACAGAACTTGAGAGACTCCTAACTCTGGGAAATGAACTAGGGGTGGTGGAAGGGGAGGTGAGCAGGGGTGGGGTGACTGGGTGACGGGCACTGAGGGGGGCACTTGATGGGATGAGCACTGGGGGTTATTCTATATGTTGGCAAATTGAACACCAATAAAAAATAAATTTATAAAATTTTAAAAAAAGAAAAAAAAGACTGTGTCAAACATGGAAAGGGAAGGAGTAAAATTTGCTGCTGCAGCAAATAACTTTCTCTAGTGCATCAGTATTACCTGAGTATCTTCTCTTTAAATAAGACTCAAACAACCCCCGGGGGGGCAGAGAGCAAACGGAGAAAGTGTCTTTTTACCTCCCACCTCCTACTCCTGCACCTTGACCACCAGCACTTCCAAATGTATGGCGATATTCTGGGTGTTTATTATTACTAATTTTATTATTTGTTCTATTTTAAATTATGGTATGGTCATATGCAACATACACGGATGCCGTGATTTTTGATTATTCAAACTAAGATCAGAGAACAGACTCTAAATGATTTCTCTCTATATGTATTTGTCAAGACAACCTCTATGTTCTGCTATGTGGTCAAGTTTTGAAAATGTTCTGTGAATGCTTGAAAAGAATGTACATTCTGTAGTTTGTTGGATGCAATGTTTTTATATACATATTTCAAACTGATTCACTATGTAGTCTAAATTTTGAGTATTGGTTACTTCTAAAGGTGTGTTAAATTTTTCCGTTATGATTGTTGATTTGTCTATTGTTTCTCTTTCTGACAGTTTTTGCTTTATATATTTTGAGGCTATGTTAAGAACATGTGACATTAAATTATTATATTTTCTGTGGAATTGAAATATTCTATTATTTTTAAATGGCTATATTGGGGCACCTGGGTGGCTCAATCCATTAAGCGTCTGCGTTCAGCTCAGGTCATGATATCAAGGTCCTGGGATCAACTTCCTCATTAGGCTCCCTGCTCAGCTCTATCCTTCTCCCCTGCTCATGTTCTCTCTCTCTCTCTCAAATAAATAAATACAATTAATAAAATAAAATAAAATAAAATAAAATAAAACAAAATAAGATAAGATAAGATAAAATAAAATAACTATATCTATGAGTGATTTTGCCTTAACATCTTTATTATTGAATATTAATGTTGCTACTTTAATGCAGTTTTCTTAGTATCTGAATGATGTCTTTTCCAGCATTTTACATTCTTAAGAATTTAAGAACCCTTCAGTATTGTCATATTTTTGATGTGTCCTTTGTAGGCATAACTGAGTTTTTTTCCAATTTATCTTTTAATCGAATAATTTGGTCTCATTACATTTAATGCAATAACTAACATAGATGGGTTTAGATATCGTATCTTATTTTGTGCTTTTATCTTATTTCCTCTTATTTTTTTAATTTTTAAAAAGATTTTATTTATTTATTTGAGAGAGACACAGTGTAAGAAAGAGGGGGCACGAGAGAGAGCAGAAGCAGGGAGAGGAGCAGACTCCCCGCTGAGCAGGGAGCCCAACGCGGAACTCGATCCCAGGACCCTGGGACCATGACCTGAGCCAAAGGCAGGTACTTAACGGACTGAGCTCCCAGGTGCACCACTTTTATCTTATTTCTGCCTGTCCCCATGTTCCAGGTTATCTTTTTACATCCTTTCTTTTGCACCAATGAAATGTATTTAAGCCTGCAGGGCATTATTGTTGTTGTTTTATAAAATCAATGTTTGTTTTAGATTTACCCACATGTTACAGCTTTTTTTGCTTTTCATTCCTTCTCCCATTTCAGAATTTACTTTTTTTTCCTTTTTACTTCTTCTGTCTGAAGTAAATCCTTCAGAATTTCCTTGAGTGACATCTTTCAGTTACTTTTTTTTTTTTTTGCTTTTGTCTGAAATGCCTTACTTTCACCCATCTTCCTGAAAGTTATTTCAGCAGATAAGGAATTCTATGGCAACATTTCTCCCTGAGTCCACTGGCTTCTGGCTCCTGTTCCTGACTACGAGAAGCTATTGGTATAAATATTGCTCCTTTTAAGGTCTCTTTGGCTGCTTTAGGATCTTTTTCCCTTTTTTTGAGGTTGAGATGACATTTATACTACATAAATTAACCATTTTAAATTGTGCAACTCAGTGGTGTTTAGCACATTCCCAGTGTTGTGCAACTATAACTTGTATCAAGTTCCAAAGAATTTGCATCACCCCAAGAAAGACCCCATACCTGATAAGCTGTCACTCCCCACCTTCCACCTCTCAACTCCTGACAACCATTAATTGACGTCATCTCTATGGATTTACCTATTCTGGATATTTCATGCAGATGCAATCATACAATATATGTGACCTTTCGTGTCTGGCTTCTTCTTCTTGGCATAGTATTTTGGGGGTTCATCCACCCTGTAGCATGCATCAGAATTTCCTTTCTTTTTATGCCTAACATTCCTTTGTATGTACATATCACATTTTTAAATTTTATTTAAACTCAATTAATTAACATAATGTATTATTGGTTCCAGAGGTAGAGTTCAGTATTCATCAGTCTTACATTACACCCAGTGCTCATCACCACGTATCCTCCTTAATGCCCGCCACCCAGTTGTCCAATCCCCCCGTCCCCCTCCCCTCCAGAGATCCTCATTTGTTTCCCAAACTTAAGAGTCTCTTACGGTTTGTCTCTCTCTGATTTAAACTTGTCTTATTTTTTTCCTCTCTTCTCCTGTGATCCTGTTTTGTTTCTTAAGTTCTATACATGAGTGAGATCATATGATAATTGTCTTTTTCTGACTGATTTATTTTGCTCATCATAGTATCTTCCAGTTCCATCCACGTTGTTGCAAATGGCAAGACTGATTGACAGATTGATTTTTTTTTTGCTGCTTTAGAATTCATCTTTGTAAAAAAAAAAAAGAATTCATCTTTGTGTTCAGTTTCTTTAGTTTTACCATACATGTCTTTTTTTGCATATTTTTTATAACGTGTCTTTATGTGGATTTCTTTATTTGTCTAGCTTTGGATTTGTTGGGCTTAATGATATGTAGATCCATGTCTTTCTTAAGTTTTAGAGAGTTCTCAGCCATTACCTTTTTGAATATTGCTTTCCTCTCATTTTCTCTTTCCTCTTCCTTTTGGTGGACATTTTTACTGTAGCTGGTACATCTCTGAACACCTTGTATTTGCAATCTCTTTGTACCCCTGTGCCACATCCTGCTTAATTTCTACGGCTATCTTCCTCTTCATCCATTGTCTTTCTTTGGCTTCGCCTAATCTTTTTTAAAAGTCACATACTGAGTTGTTAATTGTAATTATATATTTTTTCGTTTTTAGAAGTTTTTTTTCTAAATCTGCTACATCCAGTTTTTTTAAATAAATAAATAAATAAATAAATAAATAAATAAATAAATAAATATTTTATTTATTTGAGATAGAGCAAGAGAAAGAGAGAATGAGCGGGGTGGGGAGCAGAGGGAGAGGGAGAAGCAGACTTCCCACTGAGCAGGGAGCCTGATTTGAGACTCAATCCCAGGACCCTGAGATCATGACTTGAGCCAAAGGCAGACACTTAACCAACTGGGCCACCCAGGAGCCCCTCCAGCTTTTTTCTCTTTTTTGTAATTGACTCTTTCCCAGTGATATTTTCCATCTTGTCTTCTATTCATTTAGACACAGTAACTGTAAATGTTTCCTAATCTGTCTGATTATTCCATGAAACAAACATCCTTCTGGTCTGTTTCCTCTGTCAGTTTGGTTTTTTGTTTTTGTTTTTTTTTTTCTGATTCTTCCCAACAGTGGCTTTTCCCCCCTTATGTGTGAGCTTCTGATTTTCTTCAAAAACTTACATGAAGAGCATATTTGAGGTCTGAGATGAACATGTTTCTCCAGAGATGATTTGTGTTTGCTTCTGCAAGGCACCTAGGGGATTTACCTGTTTACACTGATTCACTGAAGTTTTATTTTTCAGACAATCCAAGTGAATGATTTTAGGTTCCCTTTTGGTCTAGGGTCAGCTTGTGGTTATAACTTCTGAGATGTAATCCCTCCCAACATCCTGCTCTGCTCAATGCCGGGAAAAAGCTTTGTCATTTCTTGAGTGTTGAAAACTAGAGCGGGCTTACCCTTATTCTAAAAGTATTTTGGGATTTGAACTTTTTGGAGAAGGATCTCCTATGAAACTATCTTGGGTTGGGGTCCTCTTCCTTGTGCCCACTGAGTCCATGAAAGCTGATGCTTCCCTGTTTGGCACCTTTAGCACAAAAGGGAGTTTCTGGCCTCCACCACCTCTCTCATTTCCTCAGGAATTGGCCTTATTCATGAGTCCTTCCAATATATTCTTTTGTGTGTTAGTTGGCATTTTTAGTTTCACTTAGTGGTCAAAAGGGTCCAAATAACTTATCCCATCTTATTACTGGAGCTGGAACTGTTTTTTTTTTTTTCTTAATATTTTATTTATTTATTCATGAGAGACATAGAGAGAGAGGCAGAGACCCAGGTAGAGGGAGAAGCAGGCTCCCCGCAGGGAGCCTGATGTGGGACTAGATCCCAGGACCCCAGGATCATGACCTGAGCCAAAGGCAGATGCTCAACCACTGACATATCCAGGTGTCCCTCCAATTGTTTATTTTTAAACTTGTAGATGTGCTTCTTATAAGGATGATGAGAGTCTGTCTTTTGATGGGAAAATGTGTTCACATTGCTTGTGATTAGCAATATGCCTGAGTATATTCTTGCCTTACTTCATGTTTTCCACTATGTTTTTCTTTTCTTACTTTTCTCCAATTTGATAGATCAATTGAGTTTTCTTTGCACCACAATTTTTTTTCTAGTGGTTTGTAAGTTGTAGCACATTTTCCAGGACTTCTGTTACTCTCAAAATTTAAAATGCAGATTTGATTATATTTGTTAATTTATATATTGTTTTAATCTTATATTTTTGTCTTTTAGAAATATATTACCTGCTGAAACACACACACACATTTTCAATCTTTCCCCTCTCCCTTTGCAAAATTTTTTTAAAATTTTTATTTATCTTTTTAAAAATTGTATTTATTTATTCAACAGAGACAAAGAAAGAGACAGAGACACAGGCAGAGGGAGAGAAGCAGGCTCCTCGCAGGGAGCCCAATGCGGGACTCGATTCCCAGGCCCCAGGATCATGCCCTGAGCAGAAAGCAGACGCTCAACCACTGAGCCACCCAGGCATCCCAACATTTTATTTTTAAGTGATCTCTACACCCAATGTGGAGCTTGAACTTATAACACTGAGCGAAGAGTAGCATGTTCCACTAACTGAGCCAGTCAGGCACCCCTCATTCTTCCTCTTTTGATGCTATCTTCACTTCCCAAACTGAAAATATCTGGAATTTTGGTGCCAAAGTACCACTAAAATAAATTTTTTACACTAGCCATCAAAAATTATTTGGGCATAAAGATAAATAGTATTGACTTCTTTATACACTACTGCTCCCTGTAACCCACTTATTCTTTCTTACAGGATTTGTTAGTCATGTTGCTACATTATATATGCAAGTAATTTTTTCTTTTTTTTAATTTAATTTAATTTTTTTGCAAGTAATTTTTTCAATTATGCAGATGGTACATTTGATAGGTTCTTCTTGCAGATCCAAAAATGTGTTCTCTTCTTCTTAACCTTTAAGTAACAATTTGTTTGAATATGGGCTTTTAGGTTCCAAATCATATGTCCTCAAATCTCTGAAGATATCGACCATTATTCTTTCTTTCCAATGAAAACTATTGCACTGCTCTGATTCTTTTTTCCTTGTAGATAACCTATTTTTCTCTGAGAACTTTTATGATTTTTCTCTTTATTTCTTCTAACATGAAAATTTCCATGACGTGTCTATATAAGTAAATCTTTTTAAAACCACCTTGTTCTGTACTTGGAGGACATTTCAAATATTCAGGTCATATGCTTTCTTGAGTCTGGGCTTTTTATTTATTTGATTATTTTCCTCCTCCCATACTGCCTGTTCTCTTTCCTGGAACTCTTGTTAGATGTAAGTTGAAACTTTTGGTTCTACCCTTTTGACTCTAAATCGTCCTTTCATACTTTCGTTTCCCAGGCTCTTTGCATTATATTTTTGGAAAATTCCTCAGCTAGAACTTTTGGCTAGTTAATTTGCTTCTCATCTGTGTTGGCTCTGCTACTGATGTGTCGTTTGGTTTATTTTTATTTTAAATGGCCAGAATTTTAGTGTTGTTTTTTTTTTTTCATGGCTGAACTGGCATCTCATCTTTCCCTTTGAAGTCTTCTTCTGTTTACTTTATTTACTCTCTTTCCTTGTGTTCAAATTCTTCCCCCTTTAGGATTTTGATGTCTCTCTCATCGTGAAGATTTTCCTTAAATCTTTTAGCAGTCATGGTTTTGTCTTTCATCTTGTTTTCTTAGACCTCTATTTGCCAAGCTGTGCTATTTTTTACAGCCTGTTTCTAGTGATAAAGGGGGAGGGTTGGAATGTACTGCCAGAGTGGCTTGTACATCTCCTGGTTTAGTGTTCTCCATCTTCCCTGGAATATTCAGCTTTCTGAAGCACTGCTCCACATCTCCAGCTCTGAGTCCCACTCACTGCTTTAGCCTATGGGCAAATATACTTCACAACTGACTCACCTGCTCCGTATATACCTTCCAACTTAATGGCTCCAACAAATCATTCAAACTCCTTCTGCATCTTGTTTGTACCTGTTGATTCTGCATGGGGAGCTCCTTTAATCATGTGCTCTCCAGCAGTTTTCTCCTGAATTTATGAGTTCTACTTGCCTCAGAATTTGATCTTCATAAAGTCAATCCTGTCTGTCCCTACCTGCCAATAATTCCCCAAATTTTTAGGGTTCTGGTAGTTCTATATAATAAAGACAAAGAGTAAGCCAATTCCATTTTATAAAATCAGAATCATGTTTATTATGTTGCTGTGTCAAATTTCTCCCATTGCCCTCTGATTATTTTTAATTTGAAACAAGATAAGGGAAAATGAGATGATTTGAGTATCTCATTTCTGGTCCACTGACATGTTCAGTATGTTTCATTATTTTTTTTTTTAATTCTCAACCTCACATAGAGCTATGATTAACTTAGATTTGCAAAGGAATTAGAACAAAATTAGAAGAATCTCTTCTGCAAAGTAACTTAAGAAATACATCTTAGTATTATTTTTTTTTAGTAATTCCTTACTACCTTGAAAGACTATATCTGAAAGCAATAAAGTTACCTAAAGTAATAATAATTGGAATTTCAAGTCTGGAGAAGTCTTCTGTTGTGATGGTCAGTTTCATGTAGCAACTTGGCTAGCCCATGGTGCTCAGTTATTCAATTGAACACTAACCTGGGTGTTGCTGAGAAGGCCTTCTGTAGATATGGTTAACACTGACAATCAATTGATTTTAAATATTACCCTTGATCATGTGGGTGGGCCTCATCTAATCAGTTGAAATGCCTTAGGAGCAAAGCAGCAGCAGCAGCTTCAGCATCCACCTGAGTTGCCAGCCTTCCAGTCTGTCCTACTGACTTGAGACTTTACAGTGCCCACAGTGATATAAGCCATTCCATGAAATACATCTCTACATATGTATAATATACTACTTCATTATCTCATATACATATAATAAATCTCTCCTCTATATAAAACTCCATTTTTCATAAACATAAACACACACACATATATATTATATAAATTTATTACTATTTCTATTTCTCTGGTAGACTCCTCACTGACACATGGGGTGGCACTCCTTAGATCTTGAAAGAGAATGAAAAAATACCTGCATGTATAAAAGTATGGTGTATATAGTTAGGATTTCCTTTCTTTACAAAGTTCCCCTCTTAAGTATTTTTTGTTTTGTTTTTCTTTTTTTTTTTTTCTTCTTAAGTATTTTTTAATATAGGCCAGTCAACTCACTGGCTAAATGAATGAGAAAAAGAAAGCTTCTAAGGAAGAAATTCCTGTTCAACAAAAATTCTTCAGCATTGAGAAGTAATTCTGATATTCTGACATTTCTGAAGTTATCTTTGCTAATTCTCCGTTGGCAGCCAGAATCACTTTTCATTGTCATTCCCACCCCCGCTGAGCCCACATCCCTATATTCCTCCCTCTCCATCTTCCTCCCCCATGACTAACATAATTCAGTACTTTAAAACTCCAATGGCCTCCTCACAAGACAGTCCAAGAATAAAAGCAATTTGACTCAATCTAAT